CCAGGGGGGATGGTCATGCCGCAATCCCTTCTCCTCCATTCTCCTCCCAGGATCTGGGGCACGCACGCACACGCGCCCGGCGTGAATTTTAAGCCACCGGGTCCGGGACACGAACCGCGGTCGACTACGTGGTAGTCCAGCGACATAGCCATTATGCTAACTGCTGGTTCCCAATAACTAATTCTTAAAAGAAAACTACTTTCTCTTTTATTTTCTTATATGGGTGGGGGGGTCTTCAAAAAAGTTCGTGGAAATGTATATTACTAAAAAAGTATGCATGGATTTCAAAATTTTCTTTCTTCCTTCTTTCTCTTCATTTTTCCCTGCCCTCCCCTCCCCTTCCCTCCCCTTCCCTTCCCTTTCTTGGAATTTCCTTCCTTCTTTCTTTGTTAGAGGGTGTATGTGCTCACCAGAAGAGATAGCAGTTGAGGGGGTGTGGGGGAGGAGAAAGCAGCCCCCTTGTGGGGTGTGACCACAGGGCTGGACCATATTTCATGTCTTTTTCTGGAGTTTGAGACCCATATTTCTAGTTGCTGATTTGATTTACCCATGGAGATGAACCATAGGCAGCTCCAAATCAATGCATTTGAAACTGTTTTATTTTTCTTTTTTTGGAGAGGTTTTTGCTATAGGGCGTGTGCGCTCACCAGACAGACAGAGAGAGACAGAGAGACAGAAAGCGAGAAATCACCCCCCAGGGGGGATGGCCATGCCGAAATCCCTTCTCCATTCTCCTCTGGGATCTTGGGCACGAACGCACCCATGCCTGGCGTGAGCTTAAGCCACCAGGTCCGGGACTTGAACCACGGTCGACTACATGGGAGTCTAGCAACATAGCCATTACGCTAACTGCTGGTCCCTAAAACGTTTTTTTGTACCTCTAACTGGATTCTCTTTCTGGTTTTTTTTTTTGGGAGAGGTTTTCGCTATAGGGCGCGTGCACTTGCCAGACAGACAGAGAGAGACATAGAGACAGAAAGTGAGAAATCACCCCCCAGGGGGGCGGGATGGTCACGCCGCAATCCCTTCTCCTCCATTCTCCTCTCGGGATCTTGGGCACGCACGCACCCATGCCTGGCGTGAGCTTAAGCCACCAGGTCCGGGACTTGAACCACGGTCGACTACATGGGAGTCTAGCAACATAGCCATTACGCTAACTGCTGGTCCCTAAAACTGTTTTTTTTTGGTACCTCTAACTGGATTCTCTTTCTGTTTTTAACCTTAATATTACGACCATTCGACAAAATAACTAATTCCTTTAAAAAGTACTTACTGAATGTTTATAATATTTAGGGCTCTTTGTGGAGCTCTAGAGGCACTTCTCTCCTCCTAGGCTTTCTTCTACTAATCTTTATCACTTAGAACCTGAATCCTGTTGATTATATTTCCTGAATACATTACCTCTTATCTCTCTATCCAGCTCACTGCTTTAATTGAGGAGTTTAACACTTTCTAAGTGATTACTTAAATAGTCCTGGGCTAGTTTATCTACATCAATATGTGTCTCTCTTCAATCTGTATTCCATGTTGTAACTATAATTATCTTTGTAACAAATAAGTCTACTTATAGCAGAGACCCCTCCCCCCCTTAGTTTCCTACCTAGTATCTATTTCCCCTATCTTCCTTTACAATAGATCCTTTATCTTGTTGGGGTGGTATTATACTTCCATTAAAAAAGCTGTAAGACTCTTGTAAATGGAGTTGCCAATAAGATAAAAACAGATTAATGGAAGCTTCTTGGAAAACAATTTAAAGGGAGCTCAGAGGTATACCTTTTTATTTTTGCTTCTTCTTCCTTCCTAGAAAACTGACATGATGGCTGGAGCTCTAGTAGCTACAATGGGATCATGAAAATGAAGCTATTGGATAGCTGGAAAAGTCATGATGCATTTTTTTTCATATAAAAAATATGTCATGACTTTTCTGACAATCCAATATAAATAATATTCTAAAAATGGTCGAGCTGAGAGACAGAGTAGTCTGGTTTCTCGTTGATATTCAATAACTATCGAATCAGCTCCTGACAGTCTATCTTAGGACTTCATAAAAAAAAAAATGAACTCCTATCATGTTTTTCCTACTATTATTTTGGGGTGTGACTCACTGCCCCTGTTGATAGTAAAAATCTCTAAGGACACAGTAATGACTTGCATTCCAATTAAAAAACTACAAGTAGACTAATGCATTTTGCATAAAGATGAAATTCCTAGTAGGGCTAAGAATACAAAGTTCTTTGAGAACTGGCTACAACTTACTTTTTTTCAGCCTCATATACATTTTTCTTCTCTTTTTTTCCCCTTAATCTATGCTTCAGATAAACTGAAATACATTATTTATTTGTACAAGCTGGGTTGTCCTTTGATTTTTTTTCTCTGCTTGGCAAATGTTCATTTTTTAAATATTCAACTTGGGAGCCAGCAGGTGGCATAGCGGTTAAGGTAATGGACTCCCACATGGCAAACCATGGTTCAAGTCTTGGACCTGGTGGCTTGAAACTCATGCTAGGTATGTGTGTCTGTGTGCCCCAAATTCCAGAAGGACAACAGAGAAGGAATTGTAGTGTGGCCATCCCCCTGGGGAGTGATTTCTTACTTTCCCTCTTTTTTTTTTTTCTCTCTCCAGGGAGTGCAATGCCCTATGGCAAAAACCTTAAAAAAAGATTCAGTTTAAGTAATTTTCCCAGGAATGATGGCCTTATATAGGATTACTGTTTCTTCATCTGTGTACTCAGTATTCTGTATTATACATTCTGCTACCATAGCAATTATTATTATTTTTAAAGGATTATTTATTTAATTCTATTATATTTATCGTTGCTATCTTTTAACTTGCTATAGGGCACATGCACTCATTGGAGAGAGACAGAGAAAGAGAGGAAGAGCAAGAAAGTGAGAAAGCAAGCTACCAGGTCTGTCTAGGACTCAAACTGTGGTCAGCCATGTGGGAGTCCATTACCTTAACTATCATGCCATCTGCTGGCCTTCCATACCAATTATTATTATATTACTGACATTGTTTACTAATAAACTTATCTCCAAAATAAACAGTGAGATGTTTCACAGTAAATTACAATTAGACTTTTTTGTATCTCTGCTTAGTCCAGGGCTAAGTACAACATAATATAGTATATTCTTACTGAATACACAGAGCCTTTGCCTATCTTTTTTCTTTATAAAGCTTTGATATACTGTTGTTAATTGTGCCTTACTATTTAAGACATAAACAATATAGATGTGATAACAAAGAACCAACTATAATCACATTTAAATTATTAACTGGTTTTAAAGCTTAGAATATTTTATTGTATTACTTTGTGGACTTTCTGCTGGTATCTTAAGCAAGAATTTGAACCAAACTATAAATAAAATGTCAGAATGAATGTGATACTTATCGTCTATTACAAATGTTAAATTCTCTTTTTTCCCCCCAAGACGGTCTTCATGCCACCGTCCACTCGTTTTAGCTGGCCCAGATGATGGGCACATGTATGCATACCTGGTATGCTCAGGGATGTCCTGGGACATGAACTGAGGCCCTTTCCACATGAGTCCAGTCCTCTCAAATGTTAAATTTTCTCTCTATTAAGCTACTTACTATATCAATCTTTTAAAAAATATTATTTAATTTTATTTATTCATTCATTTATTTTAATTTGACCAGAGAGAGACACACACACAGAGAAAGAGAGAGAGAGAGAAAGGGATAAAGGAAGCCGCCAGGTCCGGGACTCGAACTGTGGTTGGCCATGTGGGAGTGTCCAGCACCTTAACCACCACACCACCTGCTGGTCCCACTATATCAATCTTAAAAGGGCAAAACATTATAAGCCTGTTTGAAGTTGAATAATACTTGTGGGCATTCAGAATTTATTAGTAGAGTGAACAAAATATTCTCCAAAGTAAACCTAAATCAGATTACTATTTTTCATTTGGTTAAAATCTTATTGCTCAAAAGGCATGCCGGTCTTTTCACTTGAATGATACTCCTCTTCTTGTTTGTGTTCCTACTTTGTTTTTTAATTTATCATTTTATTGTTTATTCAAGTCAAATGTGATTATAACTTTAATTTTTGTTCTCATATTATTCTAGAAATTAAGGTACCTGCTCTCCGCTGTGAAAGAGGAATATGGGCACGCTGGAATTTTTCAGTAACTTCTTCAAATTTCTGCTTTCTTTGTTGAAGTATTTGTTCTCTGATTTGGTGTTCTCTTTCTTCTTGTTCTTTTCTTTTCTCTTCAAAAGCTCTATATTTAAAACATAAGTTAGGTAACATAAAATAGTAGTAAGTTTTAAAAATCTCAACAGTAATAGTTTCTAAACAATGGATTTATTACATAAAAGTGTTTTAATATTTCAAAATTTTACTTAGAACCAACAAATTTTAGATATTCAAAAACAGGCCCTTGGTGAACAATTTAAATATGTTTATAAATGGTAATTTCAGAATCTTATCCAGGTCTTCTGTAATTAAGAGAAGGCTCTGTAATGAGGCACTTTCTAATTTCTGGCAGGCCTGAGTCTATTCCTACCTCCCACTAAAGCCCTCCTATAGAAAAATTACTTTCAAAGAAACTATTTTCTGTAATGTAAAGAACCAATGCATTCATTGGTGAGAGAAGCAGTCTCGCAAATTATAGGGCAGTCAAAAAAATATTGTATATACGACCAGTGGATGGCATAATGGTTATATTGCTGGACTCCCACATAGTGGACCGCAGTTCGAGTCTCGGACCTAGTGGCTTAAAACTCATGAGTACATGTGTCAGCATGCATGTGTGTCCAAGATCCTGAGAGGTGAATGGAGGAGAAGGGATTGCAGCATGGCCATTCCATCTGGAGGGGTGGTGATTTCTCATTTTCTGTCTCTCCCTCTGGTGCATGCAATGACCTATAGCAAAAATCTCTCAAAAAAAAAAAAAAACCCTGTATATTTCTCTTTTTCTTTTAAACTAAAAGTTTAAAAATGGCTGTCATGTTAAATCTAAACTATGCTAAAAATCCAAGTAACTTATATAAAAAAAAACCCCTGGTTTATAACTTTTCTTGAAAATTTGGAAGAGTGTACAACTCTAAACTCTCTCTCTCTCTCTCTCTCTCTTTTTTTAACATTTATTTATTATGATTTTTGAGCCACCAGTCTGGGTCTCGAACTGGGGCCAGCCATGTGGGAATCAAGCACCGTGACCACCATGCCACCTACTGGCCCAACCCTAAACTCTTTATCACATACGGCTACAAACACCTGCCCTTAATCCTTGCTGTTCACTATTTTTAACTTCTCTGTTCATTTTGGATAGCCCCTAAGAAGTTGAGTTTATGTTCTCTAGTTTAAGGTATACCATCTCAAAGAATTAATTATGTCCAATGAAACGGATTAGAGATCTCAGAAATAAATTCTCATAGATAATTAAATTCAATGAAGAAAGAAAAATCTTTTCGGCAAATGGTGCTAGGAAAAGTGGATATCCATATGTGAAAGAATGAGGTTTGACTCCTACCTTAGAGCATATATAAAAATGAACTCAGACAGGGATCAGCGGTTGGCATAATGGCTATGTCGCTGGACTCACATGTAGTCGACCGTGGTCTGAGTCCCGGACCCGGTGGCTTAAACTCACGTCGGGTGCGTGTGCATGCATGCCCAGGATCCTGAGAGGAGAATGGAGGAGAAGGGATTGCGGTGTGGCCATCTCCCCTGGGGGGTGATTTCTCGCTTTCTGTCTGTCTCTGTCTTTCTGGAGAGCGCACGCACCATATAGCAGAAAACTCTCTCTCTCTCTCTCAAAAAAAAAAAAAAAAAAAAAAGAACTCAGATAAAATGTAAAAAAAGTGAGACCCAAAACTATAAAAATTCAGGAGGAAATACAGGAAAAAGCACTATGTCATTGCACTTAACAATAATTTCTTGGATATGACACCAAAAGTACAGATAACAAAAGGAAAAATAGATGTAAATTTGGCTTCATCACAATTAAAATCTTATATGCCTTAAGATATGTCACTAACAGAGTGAAAAGACAACACTAGAAATGGGAAAAAATATTTGAAAATCATGTATCTGATGAGGACTGATCTCTGGGATACATAAAAAAAACTCCCACAACTCAACAACAAAGCAACCTGATTAAAATATGAGCAAAGGACATGAATAGTCATTTCTCCAAAGAAGATAAACAAATGCCAACAAGCAAATGAAAAGATACTCAACAGTACTGATCAGTAGAAAGATGCAAAATAAAATCACAATGACATACCATCTCATACCCAATAGGATATGAAAAACACCCCCCAAATGAAAAACAACTTTGACAAGGATGCGGAAAAACTGGAACCTTTATGTATTACTAGAGACTATAAAATGGTGTAGTTGCTTTAGAAAATGGTAGGAAGATTCCTATTTCATGTAACAGGGTACCCAGTCTGGCAATTAAGGCAGCTGGATCCCACAAGATCACCATTCAGTTTGAGTCCCAAATAGAGGGCTTGAAAACACAAGCTGGGTGCACATATGTGCCCAAAATCCCACCAGGAGGGAGAGATAGAGAAGAAGGGATTGTGGTGTGATCATGCCCCATGGGGGGGTGCTTTCTTGCTTATCACCCCAACTCTGGTGAGCTCACAAACCCTTATGCAATTAAAATAAATAATTACCATGTGATCAAGCAATTCTACTTATGGGAATATACCCAAAGTAAGTAAAAGCAGAGATTCAAACAGATATATAGATACTCATTTTAATAGCAGAATGTTCCTAACATCCACAAAGTGGAAACCAAATGTGCATTGAAGGAACAGAAAAATAAAATGCAGCATATTCTTACCATGGATGGATTATTATTCAGCCTTTAAAAGGAAGAAAATTCTGACACGAGCTACATATGAATAGAACTGCTATGTGAAATATGAATATGAATAAATTCTGCTATGTGAAATAAATCATAAAAAGCAAGCTTTCCAGCTCTGTGTCTCTTGTGACCTCAGGTACTTTAAATACTACTGCTTAAGTTCAATTGTTAAAGAAAACTGTTACCATCATGGTTATTTGTTCACATTTTAAGAGCATTTCCAACAAAAGAAAATGATACCCTATAGTTGTAGACTCCTGGGAAACCAAACAATTAAGCATATAGCCGTCATTTGATGAGGTGGCTTTGAACCCAAGGTGTTCTTCATGTTTCATAAGACAGAACTGCACATGGTAAACAGCCCTATAGAAGTTGCTAAGCAGACTATCTTCTGTGGAAAAGGCTAATTCCAGGATTCATGGGAAATGACAATACATTCATCCAACTGTGAGTTCTACAATGGTAAAGAAGCCATCCTTCTCATTTTTATCCCCACTTCCTTCTATTCCCATAGCACTACCACAGTGCCTGGCACATAGCACTGTAAAAGGAACTCAGTCACTAGTCATTGGATAAGTAAGCAAAGAACTATCATGGTCATAGCTATACTTGCTTATTACAACTTATCACTGGGCCAGCTGATGGCATGGTAGTTAAGGCATCTGGATCCTACAAAGCCAACTCTGAGGATTGAGACACAGACCTGGCAGCTTGAGAAACACACAAGGCTCACGTGCATGCATACTCAAAATTCTAAGAAGAGAATGAAGGAAAAGAAATTGTGGTGTGGCCATCTCCCCAAGGCATGTTTTCTCCTCACTTTCCCTCTCTCTTGCTATGTCTCTGTCTCTCTCTCCAGTAAACACATGCATCTTACAGCAAAATTTAAAACAAACAGAAACTTTATTATTGGACTACCAATGAATTCAAGGATGGAAATAATTTGACTCAATCTAGCACAGATTTTATTTTCTAAGGTCCTGGAAAGTACTATGTGCACTCATCATTATTTCTGTATGTTTCTGTATACATTTTAGCCCAGAGAACAGGGCCGTTGTGGAATAATATGATATGATAGTGATGGTAATTTACTATCAAAATGACTTTCTGATTATAAGTAAAATACCTCTTAGCTTCAGAAATCTATCACTCCACATTGACAAACTTCGCTGAACTAGTACAATTTTCTCGGTTTTTCATGCTTGCTCTTTTTTTTTTCTCAACTCCAAACATTTACATACTGTTTCTGCTGCCTAGAGCACTTTTCCCCCATTTTTTTTCATGACTAGCCACTTTATTCTGAAAACTTTAGCCTAAATGTCACATCTTAAGAATACTCTATTTACTTTAATTAAAATTATTTTCCCCTGCTCCTGTCTCAGAAGTGAATTTCTTTACTTCATAGCACTAATGATAGTTAGAAGTTCTTTACTTGGTTGTATTAGCTTGCATCACTAGATAAAAAATGATTATATGGGCCATATCTGTTTTACTTACTGATAAATTCCTGAGGAAAAAAGTTAAGTAAAAATAATAGATAACTGCTTTTAAAAGCACTTGGATAACATTTGAAGTTGACATATGGTCATTTATTCAACAATTATTTATTAAGTATCTGTCGGGTATAAGACTTTGTCTTAAGGTCAGAATCCCAAAAATTAAAACTTCAATTTCAGCACTCAGTGAGCTTAAAATATAATGGGGAAGACAGTTAAGGTCCAGCCTCTGTGGAATGTACTAGACTGCAGAACTAGAAGCCACTTGCCAACCACAGTTCACCTCCTCAGCCTGGGACTGACCCTGTAGCTCAGCGGTTAAATGCTGTGCACTGGGAGTCAGATCCCAAACAGATGACTGCCATTCAAATCCCAGCCTCGGCAGCTTAAAACACACTAGGTGCATGTGTATGTGAGCCCAAATTCCTGATGGAGAAGTGGAGGAAAAAGGATTGCAATGTGACCATGACCCAACGGAGAGGTGCTTTTCTCTCTCTCTCTCTCTCACACACACACACACACAAACACATACAAGTGCACGTGCCTTCTGGAAATGAAAGAAAATAAAATCTCCTGCCACTCAGTCTGAAAGACATCATGTGTATGGATGCATGCCCAAGATCTCAGCAAGATAGAGGACTGGAGGAAGTGGGTCTCAGCATGACCAGGCCCTGTGAGGAGTGCTCTGCCTCTCCCCTCCTGGCCCCTGCCACACACACACATTGGAAGAAATAAGTAAGCTTTAGAAAAATGCAATTAGCTTTCCAACTTAGGCCTGGCAGAATGGCTCCTGCACGGAAGTGTGGCAAGAAGAAGGGCCGTTCTGCCATCACCAAGTTGGTGACCCAGAAATACACCATCAACATTCACAAGCATCTCTATGGCATGGGCTTCAAGAAATATGCCCCTCAGGGACTCATAGAAATCCAGAAATTTGCCATGAAGAAGATGGAGACTCCAGATGTGTGCACTGATACCAGGCTCAACAAAACTGGCTGGGCCAAAGGAATAAGGGATATCTCGTATCGTATTTGTGAACCGAGGATGAAGATTCACCCAAGAAGCTCTACACTCTGGTGACCTATGTTGAAGTCTAATGTAACTGGTTTACAATGTAACTGGGTTTTTATGAATGAAACCACATTTGGATTTAGCTGGTTATAACTTTCTAGAGATATGATAGTATTTAACTTGAAAACTATTTTTGAAATAAATAGACATTTAAAATATTTGAAAATAGGAATAAAATACAATTCTTCTGAATTAAAATATGAAATTGGAGACAAAAAGTTTTTTTTTTTAATAAAACACTATTTTAAACAGACAATGCCAACAGCCTATAAGAAATAAAATTAAACCCAAAAATAAAATGTGAATTTTTCCAGGTTGGCAAAGAAATATGTATCTCAAATTATTCTGTACTTGCTAAGATTTAAACTTATTTGAATCCTAAAAATCTACAATATCTCTATCTATTTATCTATCATCTATCTCACAACTGGCAGAAGGAGACTGTTTCTACTTGAAGTAAAAGATAACTTAAAAAATTGTGTCTACTACGTGATTGAACAGTATAAACTTAGATGACATAAAGTAAAAATGGATAAATAATGGCACTGCAAAAATAGCATAATCACAGGCAGCTATGTAATCCATAAGTGTATGAATAATTTGGCTCTTCTACAAAAGGTGAAATACAGAGACAAATCGTATGTTAGAAAATAAATTTTTATGTATCTTTACATTGCAATTCAGGGTAACAGAAAAATAAAACAAAGAAATTGTACTGGAAAATGTCCTGCTTCGGAGAATTTTTAATTGCCAGAGGGTGTGTGTGCTTGCCAGAGAGAGAGACACACAGAAAAACCCCCAATGGAGCGTGAGCACACTGCAATCCCTCCTCCATTTCTCCATCCTGCTGAGATTTTGGGTATGGAGGCACATGAACCCTGAGTGTTTTTCAAGCCACTTGGGCCAGGATTGAAACCACAGTCAGACATGTGGTGTGGCTCTTTCAACCACTAGGCTATGGGGTCAGCCCTGTTTCTTAGAATTTTAAATCAAAATTATTTTCTACTATATAAGAATTCTTTTTTTTTTTTTTAAAGAGAGACTTGCTATCGTGGGTGCTCACCAGAGAGAGACAGCGAGAAATAATTGCTGTAATCCCTTTTCCTCTCGGGATTTTGGGCATGCTCGCACATACGCCTGGAGTGAGTTTTAAGCCACTGGGTCCGGGACTTGAACTGCAGTTAGCTATGTGGGAATCCAGTGATGCAATCATTACACCATCTACTGATCTCTCTGTATGAGAATTCTTAGGGGTATTTAATGAGTGAACACAGGCAGAAACTTTATAAATAAAATACTATGTATAAAGTCTGTTACTTCACAAAGCAATTATTGGAAAATAAACAATTGACAAATATTAATTTATTAGTCAATAAAATAAACAAACAAGAAGCATTATGTTAGGTATTCTGATATTTTTCCATGTATTTCTAAATATCCCAGTCTGATTCTACCTTTTTTACTTTATATAAAAATCCCTTGAAATAGATATTAATTCTAATCATAAATAAGAAAACTGAGGTTCAAAGAGATTTATTAAAAATTGGCTCAGGACCAACAGTTAGCATAATGGCTATGTCGCGGGACTCCCATGTAGTCGACCACGGTTCGTGTCCCAGACCCGGTGGCTTAAAACTTACGCCGGGCGCGTGTGTGTGTGCCCAAGATCCCGAGAGGAGAATGGAGGAGAAGGGATTGCGGCGTGGCCATCCCCCCTGGGGGGTGATTTCTTGCTTTCTGTTTCTCTGTCTCTCTCTGTCTGTCTGGTGAGCACACACGCCATATAGCAAAAACCTCTCAAAAAAAAATAAATAAATTTCCTCTAAGTCATAGAACTAGGAATTTTTTTAAAAGTCTGACTGGAAAGCCATTAGCCTTCAACATATGGTTATTCATCTTTATTAGACACTAATGTATGTCTTTTTTGGAGTCACGAAGAAGAGAAGAAGAAATACATATAACACAAAAACAAAAATAAATTTCATTTGATAATTTTAACTATATTAGACAATGAAAGAGTTAATCTAATGAGAAATGTAATGACAGAAAAAATATTACAGGTAAACAATTTTGTATTCCCTGTTTGGGATTAGCAACACATGCTCAATGATGCAGTGAATAAACTCTAGGGATTTTTCTGCTATTCGCGTATTGTAGAAATATGGACAACATAGCAAGAACAACAACAAAAAATGGTATAACTCTCCTCTGACTTAAAAAGAAAAAAATCTAATAATTAAAAAAAATCCTAAGAATGTTAAGTAGTGATTAAATAGGCATTTTTACTTTATTTTAGTTTCCAGTTTACACTAGAAAGCTCTTTTTTGGGGGATGTAATTTATAAAACTGTTTTTTTTAAATCACATTTCTAAAATTACTCATATTTCCCCCCATTTTTCTGACTGAATGAATGATGGTGACACAAACAAATAAAAACAATATAAAAGTAAATAAATCAAAATAAAATTACATTCTATTAGTCACAATACTAAATGGTAATCTTCTAATTCATCATTAAATGATATAAAAACAGGTAACACATTTTATATTCATTTTAGGAAGCATATATAACACTGTATGAGCTATTCTAAGACAAGAAAAGACTGTTACAGTCACAGTCAGTGAACTAGACAATACGCCACTATCCTTGCACTTTAGGCAGAAAAGCAACAATAAAATGTACAAAGTCACATGAATCTTGATCAGGGTTTTATAGATAAACCACTGTCATGACTTAGGTTTGTAAGTGAGAAACTATGAATTCATAGTGACTGAATTTCTACACTTCTGAATAAAAGACAATAACTTACTTTTTTCTCCGGTTTGATTCCACAAAATATTTACGTGCTCGATTTCGACATAATTTTTGCTGTTGCAGTAATATTTGGCGCTCTTCTTCTAAATTCTTCTCTAGCTGGATTTTCATATCTCTGATACCATTAAGTTAAGAATAATGGTTATTTCGCCTTTAGGGGATCAGTGTCAGTGTTGTCTGATAAGGATAATTAGTCTTATATTAATTATGTAATGATGTTTTTGGGAATCAGATAGTGTGTATACAGTAGTTAGTATATGACTAGCAGATGTTTTATGTAAAAAAATTCTGACTTGATAGTACAACCTAATATATATTTTACCTTCTGGTGAAAAAAAGTTACTTTTAGAAATCATGAGCCCAGATAAGGAAATTGTGTATCTTCATTCATTACACAGGTATCTGAGGACTTACTAACAAGTTGAAAAGGAAGGCGGTTATATTTCCCTAATGGACAGCAGATGAATGAAATGTTTCACGGATTCCTTATTATACAATATGAAAGTCATATTGAAATGTTAAAATAATCAAATAGCAATATAACTGGAATGTTTATAAATATACTTTTAGTGATTTACTTATATTGACTAGGCTACAAAAAACCTCGCTAGGAAAACCATACATAGTCATCTGTTTATCCGAGAGTCTGTCTGAGAAGAAAAGGAATATTTTGGTGACCCTAATCATGAATTCATTTGAAATTTATTACATAAAATTAAACTTTATTTGAAATTTACTATTTCAATTATTTTAAAAGAATGATTTTTTAATTTAACTTATTTATTTTAGTTTTGACCAACAGAAAGAGTGAGAGAGAGAGACGGAAAGCAAGAAAGCAAGCCACTAGATCCAGGACTCAAACTGCTGTCAGCCATGTGGGAGTCCAGTGCCCTAAACCACCATACCACTTGCCAATTCCATTATTTTCAATTTTTAACAAATGTTAATTCACATTGACACTTTATCACACTACTGAGTACCTCATTATTAAGTGTAGATGCATTTGAGATTGCACTGAAGTTACAGATCGCAGATTATGCCTTCTTTTTAATATACAATAAATCATTTAATTTCTTTATTTCTTTTTTTTTGGGGGGGGGAGAGTTTTTTGTTATGGGGTACGTGCACTCGCCCGACAGAGAGAGAAAAAGAAAGTGAGAAATCACCCCCCAGAGGGGATGGCCATGCCACAATCTCTTCTCCATTCTCCTCTTGGGATCTTGGGCATGCATACACATGCATCTGGCATGAGTTTAAGCCACCAGGCCTGGGACTTGAACTGCAGTCGACTACATGGGAATACAGTGACATAGCTATTACACCATCTGCTGGTCCCTTAATTTTTATTCTTAAAAAATTTTGCTAGAGGGCACATGTTCTTGCCAGACAGGTCAAGAGAGAGAAAGACAGAGAAAGTCAGATAGTACCCCTCAGGGGGATGGCCACACCACAATCCCTTTTCCTCTTGGGATTTTGGGCATGTATGCACATGTACCTATCATGTTTTTCAAGCAGGTTAGAATCATGTAGTTGGCTATGTGGAATCCAGCCGACTTAACCACCATGCCACTAGTGGGCCCAATATGATAAAATGAATGGTAATACAGAATATAAGACATAACTAAATAAATTATTCTAAATAATTCTTAATTCAAAGTGTGTTAGTTTCAGGATCCTACAGTACTTTAACATTTATAAGAAATTATATATTTCCAAAAAATGTTTATTTGGACTTTTTGGTAAATTGAATATTTCCTAATGGGAGCTTGTTTTCAATTATGTTAACCACCTTTGTACTATACTCATAATTCATTTTAATTTTTCATAAAATTTTGTACTACCTGCACAAATACCAAAGTACAATGACAGACATATTTCTACTTAAAGGTTTCCTTTGAAGAATTTATAAAAAGGAAAGGAGAAGGCAATCTGTTTTTTGCTAGCAAGAGAAGCAGCTAAAGTTTTATTTTGTTTTTTAAGAGTACAGTAATCTGTTACAAGCCAGACTGGCTAGAGATTAAAAGTCAGTCCTCAGGGCCAGCAGGTAGCACAGTGGTTGTGGTACTGGACTCCCATGTGGTTGACTGCGGTTCAAGTCCTGGGCCTAGCAGCTTACTTTATCATTTTCCCTCCCTCTCTCACTCTCTCTCTCTCCCTGGTCAAATTAAAAATAATAATAAAAAATAAATCTTTAAAAATATATATCCAGTTCTGCGTGTGTGTGATTTTTTGCTTTCTGTCTCTCCGGAGAGTGCACACACCCTAAAGCAAAAAAAAAAAGACTCGCTCGCTCTCAAAAAAAAAATTAAGTCAATCTTTGGCAGTAAAGAAAAGAGCAACTTCCTTTTTGTATGCATGGGGAAACATGGGGGTGGGAAAAACGTTTTGGCTCAGGTGAGAAACATGAAAGTCTATGCTGTAGGCAGAAACAGTTATGTTCTTTGTTCAACATGTTTGAGATCTTACCACAAGAGCAGAAAGAAAATTGCAAATATAATGTTAGTAATGTTCTGACAACTATATATTCTTAAATTTAATCAAATGACTTTTTAAAAAGTAATTAATTAATTATTATTATTAAAAAATTTGCTACAGGGCATGTGCACCACCAGAAAGAAAAGGAGAGAGAGGCCAGATTTGGGACTCAAACCATGGTCAGTCATGTGGGAGTTCAGGGCCTTAAACACCACACCACCTGCTGGCCCCTCAAATAGTCTTATATAATATGTATGCATGTATGCAAATAGTACATATATAGTTGTGTGTGTATGTACATATAAACTAGATACATATCTCATATATACATGTATATATAAAAATACTGTAATATAATTTTTGTCTATTGAACTACAAAGAATACTGCTGCTGGGAACTGCCATCTTCCAGTAATTAACCAAAATGACGACCACAAAGGGCAAGAGGAGAAGCACCTGATAAATGTTCTCTAGGCCTTTTAGAAAACGTGGAGTGGTTCCTTTGGCAACATATATGTGAATCTACAAGAAAGGTGATATTGTAGACATCAAGGGAATGGGTACTGTTCAAAAAGGAATGCCCCACAAATGTTACCATGGCAAAACTGGAAGAGTCTACAATGTTACCCATCATGCTGTTGGCATTGTTGTAAACAAACAAGTTAAGGGCAATATTCTTGCCAAGAAAATTAAAGTACACACTGAACATACTAAGCTTTTTTTTTTTTTTGAGAGGTTTTTGCTATAGGGCGCGTGTGCTTGCCAGAAAGACAGAGAGAGACAGAGAGATAGAAAGCGAGAAATCACACCCCCCCCCCGGGGCAGGGGGGATGGCCGCACCGCAATCCCTTCTCCTCCTTTCTCCTCTCGGGATCTTGAGCATGCACGCACATGTGCCTGGCGTGAGTTTAAGCCACTGGGTCCGGGACTCGAACTGCAGTCAACTACATGGGAGTCCAGTGACATAGCCATTATGCTAACTGCGGTCTTGAGCATATTAAGCATTCTAAGAGCAGAGATAGCTTCCTAAAACATGTGAAAGAAAATGCCCAGAAAAAGAAGGAAGGCAAAGAGAAAGGTACCTGGGTTCAAATGAAGCACCAGCCTGCTCTATCCAGAGAAGCACACTTTGTGAGAACCAATGGAAAGGAGCCTGATCTTCTGGAACCTATTTCCTATGAACTCATGGAATGACGGGTGTTAAAAATAAACTAATCTATGGTCTATTAAAAAAAAGAAAAGAATATGGCTGTTTTTGTATCTTTTTAAATATGGTATTTCAGTTTTAAAAAATGTTACGTGGTTGGGCCAGCAGGTGGTGTGATAGGCACTGGACAGCTACATGGCCAACTGTAGTTTGAGTCCCAAACCTGGTGGCTTGCCTTCTCACTTTCCCTTTCTCTCTCTCTGTCTCTCTCTGGTGAGAGCACATGTCCTGTAACAAATTTAAAAAGAATAATAGTAATAAACAAAATTTTAAAAAATTACATGGTTGGTTAAATTTTAGTTTTGTTATGGGACAGAGAGAGAGGGAAAGTGAGAAAAAGCTCTCCCTGGGCATGGCTGATAGCCACACTGAAATCCCATCACCCTCACTCTCATTCTGGGATTTGGGGCACACATGCACATGTGCCTAGTGTGATTTTTCAATCCGATGGATCTGAGATTTGAATCACAGAGTCAGTCATGGGAGATTCAGCCACCTTAACCTCCATGCCACTTGCTGGCCCAAATTTTAGTTTTTTTTAAAATACAAACTATAATGTAAAGGTAAGGCTTATTTTTATTTTTATTTATTTATTTTTAGAATCACTGCTAAATACCTGTAGAAAAGAAAATAATGTTTATATACTTAACATTAAAAAAAAAACCCAAAAAACAAAAAACAAAAATAAAACAAAACAACATTACAATGAGTTGTAGAACCAGATGAGTAACACATGGTTATAATTTAATAGCACATCCTAATAATCTACCCCACCTTATCTTCACCTCTCTTCTTCCCAACTAAGTTGTTCTTCTATTATTTAAGATATGTCACCATCAACAAATAATTACATATCATGCAACCTATTTTGCCAAGTCTATTAAAGCTGTCTTGATTTTATTTCTCCTTCTGCTGTACCCTCTTCCATTGCCTTGGTTCAGGTGCTGTTAAGTCCCTTGTCTGGGTTACAAAGTACTATCCTAGCTTATCACCTTACTCTAAGCTAGCCACCCTCCACTTGAACCTCCTTAAAACCACAAAACTGATCACTATTCATTCTTTGTTGTTCTTCAAAAATTTCCTATCTAAATTCCTCGGATCTGTATACAAAGCAATCTATTATCTGATCTGTTTTTCCAACTGCATTTCTCAGTATTTCACTATTTGAATCCTATGCTCACTACATTAAGATAATTATTGACAAAACAAGCCATGATGTATCAGAGCATTATGTCTTGGCACATGCATGGCTGGCTCATCGTTTCAGGTCTACATCAAGCAGTTCATTCCTTGAGAAGATTTTTCTAACTACTGGATGGTTGACCTCCATCAGATGACTTGACACCTTTATGAGTTCTAGGCTCCACTACATTTCTATAAATCCAGTGTCTGCTAGCATTCATAAAATATAATAATAGCTTAATAAAA